TCAGTTGGTAACACATTTCCATCTGGGTCAGAACACATCAGCTAACACATGATGCAATGCTCTCTTAATACTGCACAAGTAATGCTAACTTTTGGATACGTTGAGGTGCTTAGGTGAACCTAAAGAATCGCACAGCACTATTTGGAAAGAGAAAGGAGTTTCTCCCATTATCCTGGCCAAAAATCACCCAGAGAAATTGGCCATTCAATTCATGGCTGTTTGTGGGAGATTCCTGTGTGCCAATTGGCTGTTGCATTCACCTACAAATACACAGTCACTACACTTAACAGTAATTCCCATGTTGTTATGTTAGAGGCACTATATCAAATCAATATCAAATTATTTTAAGGAATTTCCTCCCAAGAGCAGGTTATGGCACAAATTCGGGACAGAAACCAGACATCTCGGCTCGGTTTCACAGCAGGTCAGATGGTAAGATTTCATGCAACGCAGATAAATTAAATAATTCCCATTGCTACGGGTGTAGAAATTAAATGTCTGAATTATGAATCGTCTGTTCAAATTCTTTTCCAAGTGAACGCAATTACTTTGGCAGATGCTGAACTTAGTACTGTACAGAAGGGTTCCTTACACAGCAAGCTCTTGGTCTCAGTTCATCTCAGGAGCGAGAAAGAGAGAGAAATTGGATGACAGTCAAAAGGGCGTCTCTCTTACAAGCCCCCATTGCTCAGCTCAGTGTGTGGCGTGTATGTGAGGATTGGGGAATAACGGAAAGAAAGGGAAGCGAGAGAGAGAGAGAAAGGGAAACAGAAGAACAATAGATTATAAGGTTTAAAGTTGCAAAGGAAATTTCAGGACACATAGAATAAATCTGGTTGGATTCTGATATTTACTTAGCGTTTCAGAGCTTCCAACATTGGGCAAATTTGTAAATACAACCTGAATTTTGAAGTCTTTTTTCTGCAGATTTTCATAACAACTGTTGAAAAGCAACATCCAAAACTGAATTTAACCATTTGCCACGTTCTCGGCACTCCCAAATGCTACGAATATAGAGTAAATCTAAGATAAGAGCCAGCTGGAATATCTTCCCCTGAATAAGATGCTATTAGATTGCTGTAGTCATTCTATTCCAGCCACAATACAAGAACAGTGTATTAAATAGCAGTCACCAGCTCAGTCACATTATTGACTAGGATCAGGTGCTCAGGGTTATGTTGAAAACTGAACAGGTACAAATACACCAACTACCAGCTCAGGACAGTGTCAGGCAGCGTCAATGCCAAGTCATAACACCTCAACTCCACTCCAAGACTCCCAGCTTTGGTGGGTCTCGGTGGATGAGGTGAGATTGAAGCAGAGTTAGACTGAGATGCTCTGAATTTGTGCTGTCTAATGGTTGCAAGTTTGGATGCTTCTGTGCATCAAAGGAAAGCAACATGCTCAATCCAGGAAAACTCAGCAATGATTGAGTTCTCTTATAATTTACGAACTGACCAAAAAAAAAGCAAGCTCAATATCACAGTTCAAGCTTTGCTCTGCAGATTGCTGAGCCCAGCCCAATGTTCTGCTAATTATTAACATGCCGGGGCCAGAAAACAGAACAAAAATCCCTGCTTCCCCACAGCAGAAACTGGGATTCCCTCTGGAATGAGAGGAGCCAAAAACAATTCACTTCAGGAGGGTCTGAGCACACATCTTATTTATGTAAATGAATATCAAAATCATGAGGAGGCCTCCATTTCCCCTATACTCTCTCCTCCCCATCCAAGTCACGCTACCTTTGGTCCTCGGAGAATAATTTAGAGAAATTGAGAGATTAAAATCATCGGACTACCTGCTAGGAACTTGCTGCTATCGTTTCAGGATGAGAAATGGAAAAATGCTTTTTTTTCTCCTGGGCCATGTTCTGAAGGCTTTGAGAGCAGAATTGAATGTTTATGAGCAATTTAATATAGGCATCAATTACAACAGGCTGGTACAATAGCTGGAATATCAATTCAGGCTGGGAGAACCAAGGAGTCATTCCTTTAGGCCCCATGAATGTAAAAAATCCATTTAAAATGCATTTGGCGTCACTCGTAAATGCGTTGAAAAGGCAAACCTGCTAACAAAAGCAAAGTTTCACGGTAGGAAACGCAAGTTAATGGTTACAAGATGGAATGTCAGCTCATTGTGGTGCTGTGCAGTTCTGGATGCAAGATTCTGGACTTGGAACGGCACAAGATGTTTTAGATTTATGTCGACTTCTTCCCCCGTCCCTCTCCCTTGCACCCATAACCAAGTGGGAGTCTCCACAGGAGGCCACGCAGCATGTTCACCCCACCGTAAGTTCAATTACCTCCATCCACTTGATCTCTTTGATATTCCAGCCCCTGTACAAAGCTTTTATTGTTTGTGGTTAAAAAAAATAAGATTTACACTGGCTTCACTGAGCTTGAACAACAGCTACAGATTAACAATGATGGGGGTCCTCCCCAGTCTTTTATTTTCTCTTTCTCTTTTGCATGCATGCCTCTCTCCCCCTCTGCCACCCCCCCCCCACTTTATTCAACCCACTCCCCTTCTCTTTACTATTAAGAAAATTATTCCAAGATTTAAGAAAACACAGTACCAGAGCTCTGAAGTTTGGCATCTGAGCACTTAACGAGAAACATATTAAGAGGATAATGGTCAAACAGACTTAGAAATCAAAATTAAACCTCTCTCTGTCTCAGAAAGAAGGGACTTTTTGTAACAGTGGCTATCCTTTCCATGGAATATGGGTTAGATACAGTGTGAACGGACGACTTTCACAGTCACTTGTCACTTATATAAAAAAAGAAAGTAATTTCAGAGATGATGTACAGTAAGATCTGATTGCCGAAGATTAGTAATGAAACCTACAATGTACAGCCCTGGGTGACAAAACAGGTTGTGTCAATTTAACAGGGGATAGATACCTACTCATAAATTTTCTATAGGTCTAATCATGCAAACACTCATGCCTAGTGGATGAGTGCATTTTGTTAGAGTCAAGGTACTACAGTAGTGAGCTTTTGTTTTGGTCAGCCGGGTGTGTGATACATGCGGAAATCCATCACCATGCTTAAGCGTATCCAAACTAAATTGAGATTTCCATACATTTTGAAATTCCAGAGATAGATTGTTGGAATGGAATGCGTACTCTCTCCCTGGGGGGGGACAACAACAATAACAACAACTTGCATTTATATAGCGTCCTTCACACAGGGTAGTGCCTGGAGTGCTTTCTGCTTACCTAATTCCGGAAAGTATTAGGCGCAGGTTGACAAGAGACAAGGCTTGGGGACTCCAGAGTGTGTGTTAGGGTACTGCTGGAGTCTAAAACCGCATAGATGCCATTGATATTGTGCGGCAAGCTTTCTCACTGCTTTTCCAGGTAGGACCACCGTACCTGTTAATCCTTTGGCTTGCAGGGTTAACAGGAGCTGAGTGGAATGATTCCCTGCCCCCAGTGACTGGTCTGCCCTTACAGGTCCTGCCAATGAACCAGACTGGTTTTGCTGTCATCCGCAGTGCCTTGGAATACTGCCTGTCTCAGGAACCGAACTCCCGAGACTGCCACAAAGGGCTGGCTCAATCCCAACATTCCACAGCCAGTTCAGCTCCAAGGAGACTCGCTGCTTATCTCTCCGCGCTCCCCCTCCACCCCCACCGCCGCCAAGCAAGGTGGATTCCAGGCGCTGGATGTACGAACGCGTGTTCATGAACTAGGACACCAGGTAGTGAGCTCCTCTAACTCGTAACTAGCTGCTCTTGGAAGCTTCCACATTCAAATTTCTTTCCTCCCAGCACTGTCTTTGGTTCAACTTTAAATGTCAAATAAAATTAGTCTCTCACTTTGTGGCTGTTTGCAGGACCTTGCTGTGTGCAAATTGGTTGCCTTGTTTTCCTGCAAATACTCAATCACTACACTTCAAAGTTAAATCTTGTGAAGCGCTTCGAGACGTTGACGACATGATAAGGCGCTATATGAAACGCAAACATTATTATAATTATTATGAGCGCCAAAGCTAAGGATTCCCAGTAATTGAGGGGGGCACTGCTATCTTTGCATTTAAATTCAATTCCGAATTATTCATCAACGTGCTAGGGTTGAAAAGTCCATTCGCTGTCAATCATCAACGAGACATGTGAAAATGAACCTCAAAATTGGATTGTACAACTAGCATGTGAAGCTAAAGCGCGCAAGATTCAAAACGGAAATGCCACTTCACTCCAGTAATTTAATTGAAACTGTTCGACGACTGAACGAGAGATCACCATTTCCAAAGTGACAGCAGTGGGTCAAGTCAGTGACTCTTTGTGTGATGTCTATAGTCCGTGCATGCATCAGCCCTGAAATACTGAACCTACTCAGTCTAGATAAAACCAATCCAACAGCACCCTCAGTGGCTCTATAGCGGAAATGTAGCCTAGCTCCCTCTCAAGTGGTCAGAAGCTGACAAAACAAAAGCAGATGGCTGTCCAGTCATTTCCAACCTTCCACGAGGGTTATACAATAAGCATTACATTCGTGAGGGAAAGGGGAATAAAAACTTGAAACTGAAATAAAGACCAACGCCATCGGTCAAATTTCTTTTAAACCAGTCAACGTTCCAACCTGAAGATGAGATGCAAACCATCCTTTCTGTATGGTTTTAACAGATCAGTCAATGTTACTTACATGCCATGAACTGTACAGTACGACTTACTGCACTGTTTAACACTAATGACATGCAGTACAGTAAGAAAATATCTTACACCGATGCTGCTCAGCGCAGGGAGCCACAGTGACCGGCCTTTTTCCATTAGTGCAGTGAAGCTTAGAGATCCCCAAACCACCACTTCAGACTGTTCATCATTAGGTCATCTAAATAATCCACCCAAAACAAAGCTTTAACATCTGGCCATGCAACAGTGCAAAGTGAACACGCATTGACAGCTATACATCTACTCAGTGCACCCATCACCAATTGCTCATGAACACGGACACATACACACAGACTGACTTATGCCATTCTCTCGCTTTCACATACCAATGAGCTGTTTTCCTCTGGAGACCGGGGCTGGTAGCTCTGCAGGGCCACATTAGGCTCACCAAGAAGTTCTAACACCAGACTCTGCCGAATGTTTCGCACGGTCGAGCGCCTTCGGTCGAACATGCTGTGATTGCCCACATTGGGACTCCAGTTCATGGGTTGCAGGAGTTCCACAGGTGATGGAGAAATCATTGGAGAACGCTTCCAAAGAACACACAAGAATAAACCCTGAACAGTCCAGCAACTAAAAAATCATCGTCCACACATATAAACAATAGATATATATATATAAACAAACAAGCGAGAGGGATTGCCAGAGAGCTCTGGTCTGTTTTTGTCTTGTTCAACAATGAACTGGCAGAGGGACGCTCACTCTCTCTCGCTGCGTGCTGTGTGATTAGTAACAGCTGCTGCTGAATCCTGAAGCTTCCACTTTGCACTGAGTAAGCAGCGATTGTGGAGCCCCAGCCACTCCGACCAGAGCACTTCTCAAACTTTCAACCACTATTGGTGATGTCATGCTCATTTAAATGAGGAGCTGTCTTGCTCCTTGGACAACGCTAAGCACAAAACCTGGCCTGGAGTCGAAGGAGCAAATTGGAATCCAGAATCATCGTTACCAGCCTTACTTTGGCAACTAGTAGATTCAGAATGCCTGTAGCTCACGGTGCAGGAGCATGGCAGTGACAGCTTGAGGGGCAACACACCACGGATGCCACACTCTTGCCACCAAAATCTCTTTTGGGTTCATACCTGCCCACCTGCTTGTCATAAATTAGAACATGTTCGTATGCTAATAGAGGTTCTCGCCTCTCAGGTTATGTGTAAATAGTGTGAACAGATGGGGAGCCAGAACAGACCTCAGTGTAACACGGATAATCCCCATTACCTTCCAAGTATCAAAGTCCCACTGAGCATAAAGGATATACTTGCATACATTATTACAGCTATACATTTTACACACCCATAAACGAGCAAGTCAATACAAGCAACCAAGATAATTTAGAAAGTGACAGAACAGACAGTCTTGACTGACAGGTGCTTATATTCAGCGTGTAGCTGACTGTTGATTAGATCTGGAGCACTGCGATGTTCACTTGGTGATTGTTTGGATATAGTTTGGCTTTTAAAATAATAATGATACTTTTACACAGCTCCAACTGGAGCACTATCAATTACTCAGTAACTTTCTGTTGGTTGTTTATGATAGGTTAGTGAATATGGGAAAAAGAACGTGATCTGAAACCATTAATGATGAGTAGCTACCAACACCTGTGGCCACCTTGTCCTATCCCCCACTTAGTATCCACCCCAATCTTTGCAAAGTGCTCTAAGATGTTAACTTACTTTAAGGGCGCTATATGAATATTCACTATTGTGGTTAACACTGAAACATAAGTTCAGAGAAATTAACATTCCACTTGTTATTCTCTTATCTGGAAGATCTGGTATAAGGCTGGCAAAAGAGCCAAAAGGTATGAAGTTAGAAATCCATAAGTTAATTAATAACTACACGGCTTCCTTTGCTCTCTGCATCTTTCTAACTAATCTGTAATGTTTGCACCCTTCCTTCAAAATACACTTTGGTTGTGCCCATGCTCTTAGCAACTCTTAGAGACTTTTTTTTAATAATAGACTTGCCACGGATTATAACACGTGTCTTGTGGAATTTAAACAATTACATTGGTCACTGCTTACCACTAATTGATATTAAAGGAAAATGATGGAATGACCGCCTCCTCCCCTCGCCTAAAGTGGAATTATCCACCTTTTCCAAACTAACTTGTGTTGGTTGACAAACTCATTATGGAACACATTTTGTGCTGTGTTGGATCGCTTCATTCCTGCCAGAACATATTCTGCCTCACAATTAACTGCTCCCCCTAGGCGGTAACTTGTGCAGATCAGGCACAAGCAAGCAAACTCAGATTAACACCAACCACTTTGCTAGTCAGTGTCGATTTTGGGGTGTAAAGAGTGGTCCGTATCCTAGACGCATCTTCCAAAACGTTTTACCAGTTTATATACACAAACTGCCCACTCACTTTACAATGCACTTTGCTGAATAGCTACGGCTTCTGCAATGGCTAAGTAGACAAATGCATGGTGTGGTGTGTTACCGATGGATACGGACCAGAATGGTAACAGGGAATTATTTCAGGTAGAGATTCAAGGCAGGGGTTGGAGAAGAAAGGAATAGAAAGGAGGGAAAATAAGGGCAAAAGGTGCAATAGTTGTTCTAATTATCACATGTTGGAGGGTGGGAGGGGGTAGGGTGAGAAAAGGATTTTTGCAGGATCAGCGACTATTGGTCAGCACTAGCTCCATGGGTATTTGTGGGACATTATTGTGCGCAACTGGCTGATGTGTTTGGCTCAAAAAATCCACAGTATATCCTGTAAAGTACTTTGAGACTCAACGTAGTGATAAGGCGCTATATCAAATACAAAGATTATTATTAGGTGAGAATCATCAGATCAGGCAATGATACCCATTCCCTCCACCCTCCTGGCTAAATCGTGCACTGACACTTGTGGTTTCTGCTCAGCTATGAAGGGTGGCCACCTGTGGAAGCAAACTAGCTCATGAGTCACCACTTGTGGGAGAGGGTGGAGGAGGGAAACGACGAGAGAGAGGAAGAAAATTAGATCTTGATCTTTGAAAAACTTTCTAAATCTAGCAATTCACAGCTGAATCGCGCCCAAACCAGTCAGAGCATTCAACACTGAAACCTAGAATTGAAAAGCATCCATCTTCTCACCATACTGAAAACACTGTGGATAATGCATTCAGCATGTTATCAGTCATGCATGCACGAAGGTATCGTCTTGTGACAAATCTGCAGCTATTTTGCTAACTTGTTTTAACACTGAACTTTGTGATGTGATAGCACCGACGGGCTCATTTCATAACTAGCTGCTAAAGATGACGGCCTCAGTGAACACAAATTCACATCGCAGTAAAAGAAGGTGATAGTTTTACACCAAAACCGGTGTAACATTAGCAACATTAGTTTACAAAAGCCTTTCCTGTTTGCATGCGACAGGCATGCGTGAAAGCAGAAACATTTTTAATGTTTCAAGTAGGCTGGGGTTTGCCCCACAGAAAATCAGCCAACTTCATTTATTTATACAACAACATTTATTTATATCATGGCATGTAATGTCTTGAAGTTTAGAGCGCAGGCTGTGGTAAACTACTTCCACTTGTTGCTGAGTGGTAACTAGAGGCATCAATTTAAAGTCATTACAAATAAAATACAAAGTGTGTGGAGAATTGATTTTTAAACAGTGTGATTCAGATATGAATTTGGATACAGCTGTCGAAACATGTTGGTTGACAGAATCCATAACAATAATTATCCTTACATTTGATATAGCACCTTTCACATCGGGTGGACGTCTCAAAGTGCTTCATGGGATATATTGCAAAATGAAGTGACTATTTGTAGGCAAAGGAATACAGCCCACGACCTCAAGTTTCACTATTCATCTGAAACTACAAAAATTTGAAAAGGATTGCGCTCTCTCCGCTGATTCTGCTCGTTAATCACAGCAAACAACTACCCTGTTTGGCAGGTACATCATTCTTTCCTGTAGCATCAGTCCATAGCGGATACTGTACAACTGGGCAATTCTATGAGTTAAAGAAACTGAGACATCCAGCCTCATGAGGGCCTTGATTGGGAACAGCTATGCAATTTGTTAAATTTTTAAAAAATGTACTGCTGTATATCTTTAGCTAAGGCCACCATGGAACTTTCAGCTTCAAGAACACCACCGCGCTCCCCCCACCTCCACCCCCACACACCCCAGATAAAACTGATTAATCATTTCATGGCTGTTTGTGGGACAATGCTGTGCGCAACTTAGCTGCCGCAAATTACACAGCCACTACACTTCACAGTAAAATCCTGTGAAGCGCTTTGAGACGTGATGAGGCACTATATGAAAAGTAACAATTATTATAAGCTCATTCCTCGAACATTGTTTCCAGATAGTCCTCATTGGTTTCCTTTGCACTGCCTGTAGGGGATGGGCAGTCCCCCTTATTTCACATTGACCAGACCTGCAGTGGTACTTGGGTGCATTCAGACCAGAGAACTACACAGTTCACATCTGGGGATGATTTAGCAACATAGATCAGCATCCTGTCTGCCTTGGGTACTGCTGCCTTATACAGTTTTGATTAGTGAGCATTGATGAGTCAACCAGTTAAAGGATCACATTGAATCATATAAACCACTGGAGCTGAGCTTTAGGTAGCTGCCTGCACCCCTCAGTTGTGCTCCTAATAATAATAATAATAATTCTTGCATTTGATATAGCACTTTTCACGTCTTCTAGACGTCTCAAAGCGCTTCACAGAATATACTGTAAGTGAATTGACTGTATATTTTGTGGGCTCCTGGCTGGGATCGGTTTCCCAGCTATTTTTTGTGTATAATACAGCATCCCATTCTGGTTATTTTAAGTGCACTCTCTTCGTGCCAAATTATTTTTGCATCAATGTAATCTCAGTCTCAGACTTACTATTTGAAAGGTCAAGGTGAAGCCTGAAGACAAATGGCAAAATCGGGTCATTGCTCAACAATGTGGCAGCATCGCTATAGGTCAAGCCATGAGCTCGCATTTGTTTTTAAGATTCAATTATTAAACAATTGGTTAGAAATTATACACAAACTAGTCTCCGCTCCATAAAGTGCCAAGGACAAAACAGGCAGCTTTCTGCCAACAAAGCAAGCATCAGCGTGGTATCCAGGAATCAGCTTAAAATTAACATTTCAAAACCTGCATTTCATTTAAAGCGTTTTTTCCATGTTGCGGGATTTGCCCACAAAATAGTCACGTCACTTTATAGTATATGAAATTCAAGCGCTTTGAAACGCCTCGACAACACGATAAGTTAAACGCAAGGATTATTATTAGTAGTATTCTTTCTTGTGGCACTATTCGAAAAGAGAAGCAAGTTTCTCACCTCGCCTTGGCCAACAATTCCCTGAGCTAAAATTGGTCATCGACCTCATGGCAGTTTGTGGGTCAATCTGTGTAAATTGGATGCCATATTCGCCTACAAAATATCCAGTCGCTACATTGCACTCCAGTAAATAGAAATATTTTTGAGGCTATGCAATGACAACAGATGGTTAGGCTCATAGATAAATGAACCCTCCTTCACATAGTTGAATCTAATTTACTGCAATGGACTACTGGGTAGGGATGGACCATTGGCAGACGTGCCAGAGGGAGGAAAAATGCAATTTTGATGCTTTATTGAACATAGATTCAACTGCCCAGAGGCTCTTGAATAAGCACT